GCACTCGCCAGACAGACAGAGAGAGACATAGAGACAGAAAGCGAGAAATCACCCCCCAGGGGGGATGGTCACGCCGCAATCCCTCCTCCTCCATGCTCCTCTCGGGATCTTGGGCACGCACGCACACGCACCCGGCGTGAGTTTTAAGCCACCGGGTCTGGGATGCGAACCGCGGTCGACTACGTGGGAGTCCAGCGACATAGCCATTATGCTAACTGCTGGTTCCCAGAGCCCCTTACTTTTAAAGCCTTCCAAGTAGGCCACGTGCTCACTTTCAGAGGTCTCGCCGCGCCTCTTGTTAGACACGACCTGACTTTTTGGTCTCTGAACGCTTTTTGTAACCTGGCTCTAGATATCCTGAAAAATCTCAGCCTTCCCTCTAATACTTTCAAAAAGAAACCCGATCCTCTAAAGATTCCAGAATCAGAAGAGTGAGGCGAGGCTTTAAAAAGCCCTCCTTCGTTGCCAGCGGGAACGCCTGCTGTTCGCGGGCTTGTCGGCCCGCCTGTGTGACATATGTCCATGCTGGCTTAGCCCCAGGCGTCACCTCTAGGACACCCGAGGGGCCCAGGCCCTGCGACCCCCTGGCAGCTTTACTCCTTCTCCGTCAGACCGCTGAGGTTACGTGGTCTGCAGGGAAAGGCCCCGGGCAGAACAGCAGGGCCATTAGACAGCTCGAGCAGCCCCCCAAGATGACTAAGCCCATCTCCCACACAGAGCTGGCACCATGGCAGGAGTGGCCGGGGCCTGCACAGTGGGGGACCGTGTGGTGCAGGGGTGTCACAGCCCGAGGAGCCGTTGGCACTGGCTTGTCCACGCGACCCCCACCCCGTGGCCGTGAAAGGTGGAAACCACGGTGTCGGACCCAGGCTCGCCATGGCCCGGGTGCCAAGAGGACCTGGCCGAGTCGCTCCTCCACTCCCCGTGCGGCCCCTGCTGGGTCACGAGGCACCCTCTTCTGAGTTCACCAGGGAAACTCCTGTCCTCAGTGAGGCTTGGGGGTGGTGCACGGCGAGGTCAGCAGGGCAGGAGCACGGAGGGCGAGAGGGGTCACCTGTCTGCCCCTGAGGGCCAACCCGTCTGAGGGTCCTCCTCTCACCTGTAGTAGCCCCGCCCCACCCACACATTCCATCCTCCACTGCAGTCGGGGACATCAGGGTCACTTACATTCCAGTCTATGGTGACGAAGAAGGGGTGCCGCTTAATCTCCTCCACCCCGTCAGTGCCGGCACCTGTCAATGACAAGAGAGGCCAGTCACGTGGGGCAACGCCAAGACTCGCCCAGGCCTGGCGGCTTCTGCTGTGGTGGGGCTGGCCCACGCAGGCGGCCCCGACCCTCCCCCAGTGGAAGGAGTCTCGTCCCCCTACCCCCGCCCACCCAGTGTCCCCTGGCTTGGGAAGTCCGGTTCAGCCTTGAGGGCTTGTGACTCAGAGGAGGCTAGGCCAGGGGTGGCGGGGGGTGAAGAGCTAGCCTTCTGTTCTGGGAACACGGCCAGATACCAGGGGTGGCGGAGGACGGGGTGACCTGTGGTCAGTGTTAGGGCCTCCGGGAACCTGAAGGACGCAGGGGCGCTGGCGGGGCACAGGGCAGAGTGCTGCGTGAGGCTGCTAGGGCTTCTCCGGAGAAGCCAGGACGTGGCAGTTTAGGCAGGACTGCCCCCACCCTGGAGGAACCTGGGCCTGCCCTGTCCACGCCGGTCCCGGGGCAGCTCAGCACGGTGACTGCGTGGAGCTGGAGCTTGCTCTGATCCCTGCCACACCCCGTTTTCCGCCAACCCCCTCCCTTCCTTTGGTGCCTTCAGGAAACCCTAAGGCGTGGGGGCGGGGCAGAGGGAGGAGGCAGGCACGGGGAGTCACAGGGTCCTGAGGTCATCGAGTGACCCTGTCCTTCCCCTTGCCCAGACCCAGTGCTGTCCCTCACGGCAAGCCCAGTGTAGCCTGGACCGTGCTCAGGAGGAACGGCCAGTACCGGTTCACCCATAGGAGTCACGGGCGTGCGGGGACGGCGGCGCGCTCTGCAGTCTCCCCGTGAACTTAAAACTGCTCGACGTGTGGACGTCCTTGAGCCTCTTTTCCTTACCAAAGTGACGTCATTGTCATACCCTTGATTTGACTGTCACACGTGGAACACAGGCTTGGGGACCGTCTTGCGCCATAGACAGTGACATGCAATAATAAACTATAAAGTTAAAAACTGCTCTGAACAGTCTAGTCATTAAAGACAGAGCTCCGGGCTTGTCCTGAAGGGAAGCTGGGAGGATTCCAGGCCCTCCCCCACCTGAGAGGCCACCGGACCCTGCCCACGTCCCGGCTCTGCCCCCGGCTGTGAGGTGGGGTGCGGCTCGGTCTATTGAAGAGACTGGAGCAGCCCATGGCCACCTGGGACACTGCAGTCACCAGCTGCCCCTGGGGCCTCTCTGTCTGAAGGGAGGGGCTGGTCCCCTGCTCCTGGAAGACGGTGTCATGGAAGATGATGCAGTTCAAGTCTTGACCCCTCCGTCCCCAGCTCTGGGCTGCCACGGGGCGTAGACAGGCCCGTCACACAGAGGCTGGGGAGCTACCATGGATGGGACACAGCCCCAGGGCACCTTCCACCTCCCCTAGGCAGCTTGGCTGAGAGGCCTGGTGGTAGTGACCAGCCTCAACCCAGCAATGGCACCCTGGCGTCACAGCCAGACTCACAGCTCAGTAACTGCCAAGGCTTTTCTTTGGTAAGATTTTTGCCAGTGTGTGCTTGTCGGAGACAGAGAGGGAAAGCGAGAACTCCACCCCCAGGGCAGTGACCTGCCACAATCCCTTCTCCAGTCTCCTCTCCGGACTCTGGGTACGCATGTGCAAGTGGCCAATGTGATTTTCAAGCTGACAGGTCCAGGACTTGAACTGAGCAGTCGGCCACGTGGGGTCTAGCACCTTAACCACCACGCCACACGCTGGCCCGTGAGCTGCCCGACTCTGATGGGAACACACACTCGCAGGAGCTGCAGGGCAGGCCCAGATTGCACACTCGCTGGCCATCCCGTTAGCGGTGCCCACAGGAAGTGCCACAGGCGCCACTCTCGCCTACAGGTGAGGGCACCAAGGCGCCTGCAGGCTGGGCCATGCGCTCAAGGTCGCACGGGAGGTTACGAGTCGCAGAAATGCAACTCAGGTCAGCTGACGCCCCCCACGTGGCGCTCGGCCCGGAGCCTCGGATCTGACTCAGTCTCCTCAGAGGGGCTGGCCTCTGCTGACCATCTCCCCTGTGTTACAAACCCTGCGCCCAGAGGTCCAGCCTCAGGCCACCAGCACCGAGCACAGCCCTCCACACGCTCAAACGGCTGCCCTAACAAAACTTCCAAAGTGGTGCTCCCCGAGTGCCTGTCCTGGGTGCAGACCTCCTCTCACCGGGCTGGGACTTGGGGGGCCGCGGAGAAGGGAGCAGTGGCTCCCTGCGCCCCTCTGGGCGCCCTTGGTGCCCGCAGGATGCTTCTGTCGGGGCAGTCTGGTGGCAGAGGGCTGAGTGTTGGGACGCACTGCAGGGCGCTTTGAAGACCTGCTGCGCGTCTCGTGCTGTCGGGGCGCACTCTCACCATCAGCGGGAGTTTCATCGAGAGACTGGAAGGCACGCGGGTTGGGTAGCCGCGCTCTCGGCCGGCGTGACAACTGGCCGTATCTGCAGCCTCTTCCTTTGGCCGTGGCGAGACTGCATCTCGGTGTGTGGAGGCCTCGGAGCTCAGCAGATGGCGAGTTAACGCTGTTACTCAGAAATCATCACCGGCTACGTTCATTACAGTGTGAGGTGGAAGGAAAACGCCCGCACTGGGTCCTCGCAGGCTGCATCAACTCTCGCAGGGCAAACTGCTCCCCAGGAGGTGCGTGCCGACAACCGGCTGAAGCCGACCTGCGCAGGACGCGGGGCCGACGCCGGAGAGCCTGCTGTGCCCCAGGACAAGGGCCGCGGCCGCATCCCTCCGGGTGGCTGGGCACTGAGGCGCACACCCTCGCGGCCGCGTCCTCACGGGCAGAGCGTAGAACAGGAGCACTTTCTCCTGACGGGCTGGGAGCGTTTCCGCCAGGTCCTCACTGCCAGGTAAACGGGAGCTCACAGCGAGTGGAAGCGCAGATCTGAGACCTGCATTACCCGGAGTGAGAGCTCACGACCGGCTCCGCATCACCACTGGGGCCCAGCTCCCCACGGGCGCCACGGGCACGTCGTCTGTGTCTGCGTTAAGGGCCTGCTGTGCGGCCAGCCGTGACTTTTCCTGCCACGTGGGTTAGGATGCCGTGCTGTGCCTGGCAGGGTTACTCTCTCGCTCTCTTTTCTAAGTTTGTTGGAGGGCACGTCTGCTGGCCAGAGAGCGCAAGAGGGAAAGTGAGAAAGTACCGCCACCCAATGGGGCACGGTCACACCAATCCCTTTCCGAGACCTTGGGTATGCACACGCACACACGCTCCTCGCATGTCTTTCAAGCCACCCCATCCAGGACTCGAACAGCATAGTCGGCCGTGTGGGATCCGGTTGCGTTAGCCGCCATGCCACTGTGGGCTTCTGAATTCTCAGGAAACCACACTGAACCCTCGAAATCCAGGGGGACCAGTTCCAGGACTCCCTGTGGATACTCGGACGCATGGTGCCTAAGTCCCTCCTGTAAACGTTGCAGCGCGGACGGCTGTTCCCGAGGACGGGGCGCTGGCAGATCTGAGGGCCGACTGTATTCCCAAGAGGTTCTGCATCTGCCGGAATATCTCCACTGTGTCTTTATGTCCATAGAAAACTGTGAGCTGCTTACGTCGTGGATCCTTTAAGGCGCTTTTGAAACTTTTGCATTTCTGTTGTTTTCGAGTCACACAATCCAACTTCCTTCCTTTGGGACCACTCAGATGGTTCCCCTCACTTGCTACGGAACTCTCCTGGCAGTTGTAAGCTCTGGTCTGCACGGCCCTGGGCGAATTCAGGCCTGATGTAAACTGACCCTAACCCTTTCCACCTAGCAGTCGCTCACCGGTCCTCTGCACCGCAGCGTGATTGCTTTACCTTCTGCCTGAGAGCTTGTTCATGAATGGCTGTGGACGTGGCCCGACGGTCACTCATGCCCCATGGACCACGCCATGAGAGGCATGGGAGGGTGGGCGGGCGGGAGCAGGTCGCTGGCATACCCCAGGCCACTCAGGGCTTGACAAGACTAACTGGCTCCAAGTTATGGCTGGCCAGGTTTCAAGCAGGCCATCGGAGGGTGACTCCTGGCACCAGGCCACAGCAAGGCCGACGGAAACTAGGGTGGGGCTGTCGGAGACCAGCACAGACCACACTGAGTCAGCACAGAATGAGAAGCCGGAGGCGGCGCGGTGAAGGCAGTGGACACTCCCACGTGGCCAATCGTGGTTCGGGTCCCGGACCTGGTGGCTTCCTTCCTCACTGTCCTCTCTCTCTTTCTCTGTGTCTTTCTCTGGTCAAATTAAAATAAATGAGTGAATAAATAAAATTAAAGTAATTCTTAAAAATCAGAAGCAGGAGAAACAGAAACCCCTCTGCCAGTGCACAAGACAGGTCTGGCACGTGCTCCCTGGAGTGTGGACCTGCTGGCCGACGATGAGGGCCCCACGGTGGAGGCCCCAGGGTGGAGGCCCAACGGTGCCATTTTCATGTTCATTAGCGCATCTAATTCCTCTTTACCCGCCACCTCAGCTCCCCTGAGAGTCCTAGGATATTCTGGGAACTTCGAGGAGAACCCACGGGTGCTCCTGGCGTTGAACGAGAGCGGACGGCTCCGAAAGACCGACTGGGAGGGGCCTGGTGGGTGAGCACGGGCACTAGCCTGGCCTGCGGCAGGGGAACGAGAGCGGACGGCTCCGAAAGACCGACTGGGAGGGGCCTGGTGGGTGAGCACGGGCACTAGCCTGGCCTGCGGAGGTGGCCAGACAGCGACCCCGAGTGCTGCTTACGGCCTGCCGCAAGTGCCGCAGCATCTCCTCAGTTGGAGCCAACAGCAAGCCTCCCCCACCAGCCCGCCAGGCCTGCTCCCACCGAGGACGCTGTGCACCTGTGGGCTGTGTGGCTGTGGAGGTCAGCCCAGCCCTGCCCGTCTCCACTGCAGAGTCCTTGTCTTAGGTAGGAGGGGTGAGCCACCACGAGGCACTGTAAGGGCCTGACCAACTAAAAGCACAAGAACATTTGTGGAAAACAACCAAAGACGTCTCTGAGCAGCCACATGACGGACAGGGAGGTCACAGGTAAAACCTGAGTCCTCACCATGTTTCAGATCTGGTAAAGACAAACTATGGTCCTTAACATTGTGATTTTAGGGGCCAGCAGGTGGAATAGCGGTTAAGATGCTGGACTTCCACATGGCTAATGGCAGTTCGAGTCCCAGACCTGGCAGCTTGAAACTCACACTGGTGTGTGTGCACCCCAGGAGGAAAATGGAGAGGAGGGACTGTGGCATGGCTACCCTCCTGGGGAGTGAGTCCTCACTTTCCCTCTCAGTCTCTCCCCGGTGAACACAGGTGCCCGAGGGTAAAATAAAAGTGTGATTTTTTTTTTTAATGTAATTGCCTTTCTTCTTCTGTTTTTCTTTTTGTCCAACTTTTCTACAGATGGAAATTCTGCACAAGATTCAATGAAAACAACTGTTCACACAGTCCATGAACTTCTGCTGCCGTGGGATTTGGGGAGTTCCCTGGAGGGGAAGAGGGAAGTGACGTCCTCAGCCCAAATTAGCCCGAGCAGGTTCAGACGGAAAGGAACCGAGCTGAGGACGGGAGACGGCTCGCTTTCCGAGTGGAGCGGCAGAGTCGCGGCCTCACACCAGCGGGGCAAGCAGGGCCGGAGGACGCTCCCGGGAACCCGTTTGATTTCTGATGAAGACTTAGGGAAGGTGCGTGGGGCCTTCGCCGCTGCAGAGACATGCAGTGAACGAGCGCCGACTCCTCACAGGGGACCGACGCCTGACACTGTTCTAGAATTCAGCCGGAGCTCCCTTATATGGAGTCGGTGCACCCTCCGGTATTTCACTCCAACCACAGGTTACCACCTCCCTGCCTTTCTGGTAGCTAGGCATGCCACGGAGACGCAAGGGGGCCGGTGGCCGCGCAGCTCGGGCCGTTCCGGCTCCTGCCCGAGCTCTGCACCCTGAGCATGCCCAGGGAAGCCCGTTGTGCATGCTCAGTGCGGGTGCTCCCGTCCAGGTCCCTGCAGGGCCTGCGGACTCTTACCCAGCCGGTTGCAGGGGTTCCGCTTGAAGAGGGCTCTCAGCAGACTCTGGGCCTCCACGCTGAGGAACTGGGGCATCCCCAGCTTGGCTCTGAAAGACAAGGTCATGGGCTGGGCAGAGGCCCGGGGGCCAACATGTTTTCTAAAGCTGAATTAAAGGAGCGTTGGGGCTTTGTCTTGTACCGCGGGGAACGGCCTCCTGGTTCCATGGAGGCAGCGGACTCTCACCTGCCTCTGTGACTGTCCCCTTGCAATTCTATGACGAGAATCTGGGACAGGAGGACCCTTGAGCCTCTGAGAGGGCCTCGGGGCGCCTGGGGTTCCTCAGCCACAGAGAGCCGGGACCGAGCCTCGTGTGCCCCACGGAAATGCTCCGTGGCCAGCCCCGAGAGCCTGTGACTTTCTGGAGGGACGATTCTGGCTTTAGGAAAGCAAAGAGCTCATTCTCGTTTAGCTGCGGCGAGTGGGGCGACACGGCAGATGCGGGCGCTGGGTCACAGGTGTCACTGCGGCTGAAGGCCTCCCAGTGGAGGCCACCACCCACTGGACGCCAGGGACTGTGCCTCGGGGGCCTGTCCTCCCCGGCTCCTCCCATGGGCGGGGGCTAGCCACAGACACCCCACGTAGCGTTGCTCTCGACTTCACTGCAAGTGACAGCTCGGGGATAGTCCCGAGGACAGCTCTGCGGTTTCTCCGCCCAGTGGTTGTAATTCTGCCCCAGGCTGCCGCTCTGCCTCGGTGGGTGCCTGCGCACCCCTGGGGGACCACCCCTACTCACTTGAGGATGAGGGCCATGGTCTCCTTCCGGTCCTTCCCCTGGAACGGCAGCGACCCGGTGAGCATCTCGAACTGCAGAGCACAGAGAACAGCGTGAGCGCGGCCGCTCAGACTGTGACCTCGCACAGGCCCCGGAGGGCTAGTGTGGCGGTTCCCCTGCTCCTTCAGAACCCGGCCAGCCAAGTGCTGGCGGCCTCGAGCTCGGGATAGGCCTGTGGGCAGAACCCCCTCGGGAGCGTCTGTCCATGGGTGTGCGGGGGGCGACGTGGTGAATGACTCCTTACACGGGGTGAGTCGGGCAGGGCCACGGGGAGGAGACAGAGGACTGGGCCTGGAATGGGCGGCTGGGCCATGTGGGTTCCGACTGCTCCTCCTTGCCAGGTGTGGAGGGGGCGAGCCAGGGGCGGAGCTGCCCTGCCCAGTGTGTCCCTGCAGGGTGGGCGGGCCCTGTGCTCCCTGGGCAGAGAATGCGGCTCACAGCCCAGCCCAACCCCTGGAAGACGGCACCGCAGTCTCAGACTCGGTGGCCACTGGCCAGGAGAGAGCTGGGGTGAGGGGGGGCTGGGGCCGCCGTCTCTGCACAGGGCCGGCAGTAGCTCCCATAGCAGACAGCGCTGATGCGTGGACTGTGGGCGGGAGCGCTGGCCTGGAGCCGCACTGGCCACAAGGGTGCCCGGCGTATCTGACCACTTCTGAGGAAGGGCCTGGGGCGGCAGTGACACGCCGCCTCCTACGAACAAGACCCTGCCTCTCCGGCGACCCTACGCGCGTCCACGGTATCAGTGTGCATGACGCGGGCGCCTCTCCCTGCGGCCCTTAAGCTCTTCACGCACGATGGCCTCTCAAGTACACGCAGGCGGAAAGGCCAGCCCACCTCCTCTAGTCTCGTCCCCGAAGGCGCCCACCATTCACTGGTGACACTTCCTCCTTTCTTACTGTGTGTTTTTTAAAGAATCATTTAAATTATCATCATCATTATTATTTTAATTTGTTATAAGACACATGAACTCACCAAGAGGGACAGAGAGAGGGAAAGTGAGAAAGTCAGCCGCCAGGTCTGGGACTCGAACCACAGTTGACCATGTGGGGAGTCCAGTGCATTAGCCACCACACCACCTGCTGGCCCCTTACTGTTTGTTTGAGACAGATAACGGTTTGTATACTAACTTTTCCCACAATACTATCAAACCTCCATTTCCCCATCCTGAGAGCATCCGGCTTCCCTTAGCCGCCTGGCTACTGGGTCAGCCAGAGCCAAGGATGTAAAAGCAGTCGCCACTTCAGGGCCTGAGCCTGCGACCTGGGAGGAAAGCTCGCCCCGCGCCCTGCGCCCTGCGCCCTGCGCCCCGCGCCCGGCGCCCCGCGCCCGCTGAGCGAGCACACACAGGGCAGACAGGCGGCAGGCTGAGCACCAGGGAGGGGGATTTTAAACAGACGAACGTGACTCAGTGGGAAGACCAGACCCCCTGCCTGGCAGACAGCTGTTCATCTGCAAAACAGGACGCAGGCTTGCCGCTGATTCCACGCATGAAAACGTTTCCTGAAGCAGCGGCGGCTGAGCAGAGGGAGTGCTCCTCCCATCCGAGTCTCCCCTCCTTCCGCTCCTTTTCCGAGTCACCATGACCAGCACTCCGGGGGTCCTGTCTCTGCGTGTAATGAGAAAGCCGCCGGCCCTAACCCTTGCTGTACCCGGGCCCCTGACACCTGCCTAGTGACCTCTTCTTAGGTGCCCGCTCTGACTGAAGGCCAGCGTCCACCTTCTTCACGTGTCCCCCGTCCCTGCTCGTCCACAAGTCTCTTTCCCATGAACCCAACGCACCATGGGGGCCCCGGCCCTCCACAGCTCACGGGAAACCTAACAAGGGGCGACATGCCTTGAGCACACGCTGCTGCCGCTGTTGGTTCTATTTTTTTGCTGTAGGGCACATGCACTGGCCCGAGAGTGATAGAGAAAGGGAAAGTGAAAAACCACCCTCCGGAGGGCGGACACGCCGTAATCCCTTCTCCATTCTTCTCTTGCGATTAGGGACACACACGTGTGCCTGGCACGTTTCTCAAGCCGCTGGGTCCGAGACTCAAACCGCACAGCCAGCCACGTGGGCACAAGGCACCTTGACCTGCACGCCAGCCGCTGGCCCTAGTAAGTGCATCTCATGGCGACGACGGCGCTGGTGCGGGCGGGTGAGGCTTTTCCTTCTGTGACCACCAGTCACGGCCCTTGGCGTCCGTGGAGAAAGTAGGTGATCTCACGTCGAGTGCCCATCTAGGACCTCTGTGCTTTCCCGAGGTGCTTCCCTGGGACATGACACACACAGCAAGGCTCTTGGTCTGGGCTGGCCGAGGCTTCCTGGCAAACGAGGAGAGGGGCTGCCTCACCGGGTGGGAGGGGCGCTCTCGTGACGCGTCTGCACCCCAGCTCCGAGGCAGGCTGGCAGATGAACAGCCCCCAGCTGCCCCCAGCTCCATTGTGGGCTGTGCTGAGGTCAGGACTCGGTCAGAGAGTGGTTTTTGCCGCAGCTTCCCTGTCTAGAGATATCTGATTGTCTGCTGGGGCGCTGGCATCGAGGGGACCCAGGAGGCAGCTAAACGTCCCACGATGCACAGCGCGACCCCCAACAAAGACGTTCCTGGTGCCAGACCTCAACCGCGCTGAGACTGAAAGCCCTGTCCTAGGGGACATCTGTGGCCACCCTGGGCATGGGCATAACGCCATCGAGGGCCCCAACGGTCCAGGACAGAGAACGAGAGGGCACTCTGGGAGGGACGCCTGGTCAGAGGGCTCGGCTCACCTGGCCGGCTGACAACCGTGAGAAGCCAAGTGCAGGATGAGGGTTCCGGCCGCAAAGCCATCGCTCCAGGTGGTGGCAGCAACGGTTCTGTGGCGCGGGCTGGGCTCTGGCGGTGCAGGTGCTCATGCCATGCACATGCGTCTGGTGTGCGACATTGACTCACCAGGTGGGCTGGCCCCACGGGCGCTGCACCCTACTCTGAGGGCTGAAGGTGCACGCACCAACCTGAGCCTCAGGGTAGCCAGGAGGAGGTGCCGCTCTGGGCTTCTACAGGTGGGAGCTGGCAGAGGTGGGCGTGGCCCCCCAGGTCACCGCGGTAGAGCCGGACAGCGAGTATGGCCGTGGGCGGCTCCTGGCACCTGTGCATGTGGAGAGGTGGGAAAACTCCCGTGGTGGCCCAGGAAACTAGAGTGCCCGACGAGAGGCCATCCCCATCGGCAGTGCGGCCCGGATATCCCACAGAGGCCGATGGCAGCCGGCACAGAGCCCGGTGCACCAAACGCGGTGACAGTGCCTTCATGGTCCCCGACGCACATGCGGCCGGCCGAGGATGGCGGCTCCCTCGGCTGGTGCAGGTCCTCCCAGCTGAGCTCTGCCGAGGGCCTTGACCTCTCTGGGTGGCATGACGCCCAGCTCGGGGGTCCATGTGCAGGTGTCTCTGGGGGAAGGGCTGATAACCCGGGTCTCCATCTTCCTCAACAAAGCCAGGGTAGGGGGTGTGCCTCACAGACATGCAGTCACAGTCCCATGGTCCTGGCCCCGCAGTGGGGACAGTCCGTGGTCCAGGCCCCACAGCGGGTACAGTTCCGTAGTCCAGACCCCACAGCGGGGACAGTTCCATGGTCCGGGCCCTGCAGCGAGGACGGTTCCATGGTCTGGGCTCTGCAGCAGGGACAGTTCCGCAGTCCAGACCCCACAGTGGGGATGGTTCCATGGTCCAGGCCCTGCAGCGGGGACAGTTCATGGTCCAGGCCCCGCAGTGGGGACAGTTCCATGGTCCGGGCCCTGCAGCGGGGACAGTCCGTGGTCTGGACCCTGCGCTTGCTCTCGGGACCTCAGCTCTCACTCTGAGCACAGAGAGCACCGTCTCTCCCCAACACGAGAGGTTCCAGTTCGGGTCAGACATGCCATGCAAACTTCATCGTCATCTCTGCGAGCCCGCGCCGACGTCAGGCGCTGCGTGAAAGTGCAGATCTGGAGCTGGCACACGGAACGTGGTGCCTTCCTCGCTGAATGAGGGTCCCACCTGCAGGGGGCTGCGTGGTGAGGAGTGTCCGTGCCGGTGAGAAACGCGGTGGACGGGCCTGGTGTACTTGGTGACAGCCATGGGAGCGAGGCCTCGCTAGGGGTCAGGGGAGCCAACTGCTCATGTCGGCTCCTCCGACTTCTGGGGAGGCTCCTATGGCAGCAATGACAGGGCAGGAGGCGACCCCAGGAGCAGGGCCGGGGGTGTCTCTCTGCTGTCATGCCTGTCTTCTCTTTGTCCTGGGGACCATCTTTGCCGGGCACCCATGTGGCTCTCTGTGGGGACCGTCACGGACCAGGGCCACCTGGTGCCTACACAGCACAGTCTCAGCACCAGGGAGACACCGCAGAGGTAGATTTGTGACAAAGGTGACAGAGGTCAGGCAGCAGCACATTGGACAAGGACCCAGAGACAGAGCCATCTGCCACACAGGAGAAGGCGAAGCGTCCGCAGTGGCTGTTCTCTTACGAGGTGGGGACCGAGGGCGGCTCGCCCCGAGTCCGTCTCCCCCTTTCCTCCGTTCCTCCTCGGTCTCTACCTCAGGTCTTTCAGTTTTCCTGTAGGTATTTCTGTTCGCCTTTCAGCATCTCCGTTGACTTCTTTAACTTGCAATGATTTAGACCAGAAGAAATTGAAAGCTCCGTTTCATACAGAGGCCCCGTCTGAGAAGACAGGTCAGCAGAATGTCCTACCTCCTCTGCGCATCGCCCAGACCCACAGAGCAAGTCGAGCTGGCCCTGCGTGTGCGGCTGTGGGTGCTGCGTCTCTGCTCTGAGACGGGGAGACAGTCTCAGACTGGTCTCTTTTTCTTGCAAATGTCCGCCACCCTGAGAGGTGATGGCCACACTTCCCAGCTTGCGTCTAGTAGACAAGGCTGTCTTGCAGCCCCCTGTCTGCAACCTGCCCCAGCCAGACCCGCCCACCCTGACGGACGTCATCATGCCGCACTCACCCTCCCAGCTCCACCCCGCCTGCTCACACGCACCCAGTGTGCTTTAGGCTGACCCAGCGATGTGACCTGCGGCCGGCCACGGGACTTCCCGCCTTGCAGGGCACCGTGCTACTGCTGTGCCACGCGGGCTGGAGGTCACTCAGGGGAAGGGCAGAAAGTGACGTGCAGCCGGGACCAAGCTGGCGCCCTCAGGGGCTCGCCCTTGCAGGCCCGGCTCTCCAGGAACAGGCTCTCAGAGGCGGGGTGTGAGCTGAAGTCACGCTTGGAGCTGCAGGCCCGAGACCTTGGGCCTACAGCCCAGAGTCAGGGAAGGGCGTGTCAGAATTCCCAGTAAACTCTGCTGCAGGCTTGAGGTGGGGGCTTTGGCGAGGCATCCCACCCGAACACCCACCACCAGATCTCAAAGGAAGCCAATATTCTGGAATGGGAACGGGACACCCTCATTTCCATTTTCTAACTGCCAGAGGGCGTGTGTCCTCAGGAGACAAGGAGAAGCACCCCCACTGAGCTTGGCCACTGCAGCCCGTGCTCTCCCGTTTCTCTTTCCCGTTGGGATTTGGGGCACGCCTGGCATTTTCTCAAGTTGCCAGGGCTGGGATTCAAACCGTGGTTGGCAGTGAGGGATCCAGCCCCCTTGACCACGAGGCTGCAGGGCTGCCCGCAAAGGTGTCTTCAAGACAGCACAGCTCAGGCCCCGCCTCAGCAACCTCTCTGGGGAGAGGCCCTTTCAGTCCGAGAGGAAGCAGACTCCCAGACTCCTCCAGGTGGAGAGCGGACGCGGTGGGCCCCAGCCCCGAGGAGACCACACCCCGGCCAGTGTCCCCACACACCCGAGGAAGCAGACAACAGGACGCCGGCCCTCGGCACACGCGCCCCTGGGCCGGCAGACACCCCTCCAGCGCTCTGCACGGATGCACGCATTAGCGGATCTCACTGAGCGGCTCTCTGCTGTCACCCACTTCCCCAAGCAGCCTCCTCGTTGTGACCCGATGACCTTGAAGGCTGTGGACAGGGTGACGAGTGCTGTCCCTGTGGGAGGAGCACCCCAAGGCAGCCAGGACATCACTGCTCTGAGTTGGTCTCCAGGCCGGCTGCCCACAGAGGAGTCAGCGTCTGTGCCGACTCTCGGGTCCAGCCAAACCTCTGCACCCTGAGCTGAGCACCGGAGCCCAGAAAGTGACCGGCTGACCCAAGTGACCCATGCCCTGGCGAGGCCTCAGGGCACCAGCCCGTTTCCCTGGAGCCCCTGGCCCTGGGCTCAGGACTGCGCCTGTGTTCTGTGGACGGGAGGCGGCTGGGTCCTGGAGGAGTAAGCACTGGCGTGCAAACAGCTGGCCAAGATCCAGCTGAGTGCTTGTCACCACGGTGACCGAAATTCTCCTTTGTTAAATGCACAGAGGCCGGGCCACCCTGACATGCCGTGGCATACTATCCCGGATGTTGGATTCCAGAGTGTCAGAATCCAGTCCACACTGACGGTGGCGGGGCAGCCTGCCGGGGTGAGCACCTGCCCTGAGGAGGGTGGAGTGACAGGGAGGAGAGGGGGAAGAGAGGAACGGGTGCAGGAGGATGGAAGCTGGGGAGGAGTCCCCTGGGACTGCAGAAGGGGCCATGGTACACCAGGGTTAGACAGCCCTGGGTTACAAGCTGTCTGCAAACGTGCTCTGAAACCCCAGGCTTCAGGATGGGCATAAAAACGTTCAATTCCACATATGCTTCAGTTTATGCTAATTTCACAACTAACTGGGAGGACTTTGTATTGAAATATGGAAATCGCCACAGCCCTGAGACACTGCCGTGTAACTGCTGAGAGCGTGAGAGGGCGGCCTGACCTGACAGGGCCTCTCCCTCGAACCCCAGGCCCCTCTTCCGAGGGCGGGAGTCTGGACAGAGGAGAGGCTGCCTGGAGACGCGTGGCTCGACCTCCTCCTCCCCCGAGGTGCGGAGCGGGGCTGGTTTCCACGTGGCCGAGCCCGCTCCCCTAACGCCAGGATCCCGGCCAGCCTGGGGATGTGAGGTGCGCGGCCGGAGGAGGGCGGCATTACCATGAGCACGCCGAAGGACCACCAGTCGGCGCTCTGCGTGTGTCCGCGCCGGTTCACCACCTCGGGCGCCATGTACTCAATGGTGCCACAGAATGAGTAGGCTCTCTTGTCGTGGTCGATGGCTTCCTTGCTCAGGCCGAAATCTAAAGCAAGCACAGCACACAGCCGTCCTCAGTCCCTGGGCGAGGCCACCAGCCCCGGACGTCCCTGCTGGTGTGTCCTGCACGCTGGCCCTCTCCAGAGCCCTGTGCAGGAGCAGTGTCATCACAGCCCAGGTCTTCCCGGGCCCGAAGTCCAGCAGCCAAATGCACAGACTGGCAATTCTGTGAGAGTGTCAAACTCAGGCATGCCTGGGACAGTGTTCTTTGGTAACCACATGCTTCCCCACGAGGACACGCATTCCCTCATAACTGACGTGTTCCCGAACCAGGTGGCCCTTTCTAGAACGAGGGTGGGCTGCAGACCTGTGCACCTCGGGCCGGGGACCAGGACGGGGCGGGAACGGTGCCCCATGTCTGCTGCTCTGACGGTGCCAGGATGGTGCGTCCTCCAGAGCAGGAAGAGGGGGGAGGGGGGCTGTGGACCACGTGGGAGGATGCTCCTGGCTGGCAAGGGACAGAGGGGAAGACAGACGGTCTGATGAGGATTTGGGCAACTGCTGGGGGGCTGCGGTCCGTACTGCCCATCTGGCTCCCAGAGAGCCTAGATTCAGCCCGGGCTCTCTGGGGGAGGATGGGCGTGGGGGGCATTGCCCAGCTCAGACACCAGGAACAGGTCGGTTATAAGGTTCCAGACAGTGTGCAGTTCTCATATCCGTGAGGGTGGGGGTAAGATCACCCCCTCCCGAGGCCACGGCGAGGTGTGTGAGACCTGGCTTTAAGCCCGAGTACTGAGCAGGGTGGGCCTCAGTCTCACGCTGCCCGGTGGCCTGTGGAGCAGGCAGGCCTCGGTCACCCGCTGCCTGGGGGCCTGTGTCCGTGCCTGGTCAAATCCACCAGTCACTGCGTGTTAGCAACCAGGGGTCACCAGGAGGCGACAGAGACCACGTCTCGGAATGCAGAGAAAGCTGGAAGTCTGTGCCACAGTTAGACCTGAGGTGGTGGCACCCCGGTCCCAGCGTCTGCGACACACTCGGGCTTCACATGGTGAATGCCG